GAAGACTCATTTCCCGCCAAAATTTGAATTTGTAATTCGCTTTTACGCAGTTTAAATGCTTCTTTATCTGACACCTCTCTAATTTGCCATTTTTTTATTCCGATTCTGTACGAAATATGTAAAACAAATTCGAAAAACCGAATCCACGCGTGTAACGGACTTATGCCGAAGTTCATTGTATTGGGCTTTGGTTTGAAAATGTCAGATTTTATATTTTTAGTTGTTAAAAACTGTTTTGGGGTTGCATGACATATTGGACATCTTTGATTCGAATTAGTATTTGTTAAAATATTTAAAACCTTTCCATCAATTAAAGTCATATGCATTTCGTACCTGATATTAATTTTTCTTCCGTTATCGGTGTAGTAATCAAAATCATTTAGATTAGCAATTTGTAAATCTAATTGGTTATTTTGCTCCAGAATTAGGGATTTCGACTCTTTCACAAACTGCATTTTCAATGGCCTACAAAATCGAACGGATTGCGGGGTGCTATTTATCCAAATAATTCGTCCAGATAAATCCATCATTTTTAGTGGTATAACAGTTGTTACAAACAGCGATTGGTCGAACAGTTCAGGTGTATCAGATTGAAATCTTTGTTTAAACGTACTCTGACCTGTTGTTCCGTCGAACCCATAACTCGCAACTAGAATAACATTTTTCACGTCTGCCATTACACCTAAAACGTCATGTTGTAATAGAATAATTCTTTCAGCTGTATGATTTAAGAGATTCTGTAAAGGAACCTCTGCCAAAGAATCAGTTACAGTTAATCCTTTAGGTCGGCAAAGTGCCTTGCACTTAATTAATTCGTTATAATTAGGATATATGTCACAATTCCTTTCTTTATTTAGCAGTCGAATGTTCATATACTGTCGTTTACTAAAATCATTTTCTAGTAGGAATGCTAATGCTTCTTCTGGAGTCAGTGGAATCAGTTTACTTTGATCAGAAGAAATCAATTTTTTTATCTTACTAGGCCGCGTCGGAGAACTTGTAATATGTTTTAAAACAAACGTCAGGTCCTTATTGTTAGATTTCCTAGCAGAAATTTTAGTTGCATGAACCATTAAATCAGTATTATGATCTTGTTCTGATGAAAGATCATTTGCCAGCTTTCGCTTCATTCTGTCCTTTGCGCATGTATAATTTACTTGTGGTCGTCCAATTTTACTTGAACAGGGTTTTTCATAATCTTTGTCGCTAATCGAAATAACAGCGGTTGCAGAAATCCATGTTGCGTGCTTTTCTTTAAATCTTTTTAACGATCTGTTGCAATTCGAAAGTTTTTTTGTCACATAGCTAAACAAATTTCGTATTTTTTTTCGAATGTCATCCTTTTTTTCCAAACTAAGCTCGTTGTTTTTAATCTTTTTAATCACCCATTCGAAAACAACGTCGCTTTTGCGGCCGCATTCTTCCCCAATGTTGAGCAATTCCTCGTGTTGAAATACGAATGTTTCTAAAAAATATGAAATATTTTTAATTTGAGCAAAAATGGGCAAAAATGACGCAAACTAAAATGAAATATATATAATTAGCTTTCACTTCATATTGAATTTAAGAGCAATCTGGAACAATCCACATTATTTTTTTCCTACCAAACACAGAAAAGTTTTCAATTTTTACACAGAATATACGTTCACACAAAATGCTATATTCCCCAAGTACTACATCACTGTTCACATTTTTTTTAATTAAGTCATAATTTAGATACCTTGGCTAAAGTTTTGCATTTTATTTTTTTTTACTAATTCACAACGCTTTAAATTTACACTTGTTTTTGTTTACAGCTTTTCCACACAACAGTTATTGTTAAAAGAAACAATTTCAATACGTCCACTTTGACAGCTTATATTAGGTACAGTGTTGCCCCCTACACTTTTAAATTTTTTAATATGAGTTCCCTGACGCGTTTCTGTTAAGAATACGTACTTTTTTTGTAAAAATCTATCAACAAGTTTCTTGACTTTATGCCAAAAAAAACGGAATTGGGACCATAGTGCAAGGCTAAAAACTGTGCCAAGTTTGGCAGAAATTGGTGAAGCGGTTACCAAGATATACAAATGTAATCATAAGTGGGCGTGGCCACGCCCATTTTCCAAAAATTTATAATATTCTTATTTTTCGTTTAAAAATTATTGTAAATATCAATTTTAAGTGAATAATCTTCAGTAGTTACTAAAATATCGCAGTTTTCGTATTTCTGAAAACTGCCGTTATATGTAAGGTAGGCGTGGTTATTGTCTGATTTTGCCTATTTTCAATACCATCTGTCCTACACCCGAAAGAAGTACACGTACCAATTTACGTTAAGATATCTTAATTTTTACTCGAGTTATCGTGTGCACAGACGAACGGACGGACGGACAAACAGTCACCGCCAAGTCGATGTCTATATCTATCTCGATTTGTTTTGCCTGTTACAAACAATCGTTATGTGAACAAAGTTATAATACCCTTGTGCACAAGTGCGCTTGGGTATAAAAAGTTATTGGTAGATATTTTCTAGGTTTGGTAGATCTTTTTCAAGTGGATGGCAAGTATTTTTTTCGTCAGTGGCAACCCTGGCTGTAAAGCCAAAATTTTATATTTTTTTCATACAAATGTGAATTTATCAGTCAGTTGTCGACCAATTTTTGAAAATAGGCATTCGTTGTACTCAATTCAAGACTAGTGTTGTTGCTCTTCAATATAGCTAAGATTTAACAAGTAAGAAAGTTTAAGTTCGGGCGGAGCCGAACATTAAATACCCGGCGCAAGTATTAAATATATACTTTCCACCTTTCCGAAAGCTACCGCTACATGATAAGCCGGGGTGTATAAACATTAAGTAAACTAGCGTCCTTCAATTTCGAAATATTGAAATTTCAAGCATTTCTGAAATTTACCGTTATATGAAAAGCGGCCGAAATTTTAGTCCGATTTCAATAATTTTCAACGTTTTGCTTTTATGTGGCAAGCACAATAAACATACCGTTTGGTACAAATTGCTAGAACTGTTAGCGAGATACATATATGTGATCATAAGTGGGCGGTGCCACGCCCATTTTCCAAAATTTGATCATAAACGTAAACTTCTTGGTAAAGAATTGTTGCATCCATCAATTTCGAATAAATTAGCTTTAATATTTAATGATTTATCGAAGAATTCGTATTTCTCTAAATTACCGTTATACGGAATGTGGGCGTGGTTATTGTCCGATATTAAAAATTTTCAGCCATTTGGTATATTGTACCAAGGCTAAAAACTGTGCCAAGTTTGGCAGAATTCGGTGCAGCGGTTACCAAGATATATACATGTAACCATAAGCGGGCGTGGCTACGCCCATTTTCCAAAAAATTTTAATACTCTCATTTTTCGTCTAACAATCATTGTAAATATCAATTTTGAGTGAATATTCTTCAGTAGTTACTAAAATATCGCAGTTTTCGTATTTCTGAAAATTACCCTTATATGGGAGGTAGGCGTGGTTATTGTCCGATTTTGCCCATTTTCAATACCATCCGTCCTACGGCAGAAAGAAGTGCACGTACCAAGTTTCGTTAAGATATCTCAATTTTTACCCGAGTTATCGTATGCACAGACGGACGGACGGACGGACGGACGGACGGACGGACGGACAGACAGTCACCGCTTAATCGATTTCTCTTTTCATTTTGATCATTTATGTATACATTTGTCTATATCTATCTCGATTCGTTTTGCCTGTTACAAACAACCGTTATTTGAACAAAGTTATAATACCCTTGTGCACAAGTGCGCTCGGGTATAAAAAGAGGGGATGTAACTGTACACAGAGCACACATTGTCCAAAAGCGTATTAATTAAAAATTTAATATTTTTGATATGCCCTAAAAGTGTTCACGGACCTTAGACATGAATGATGAAATACAAGACATTTCTCAAGTAGAAGTAAGGAAAGCAGAATAGGAGGATAAAATCAACTGTCAAGACAGACAATTTTTTTAATACTAAATTTTTTTATAGGAAACGTGGTTTAATTGTGTTAAATTTCACAAATATATGATTTACAAAAGGCTAATTAAGAAAATTAAAAAAACGGTGTTTTTTTTTAATTATAATGGCAATTTCGTTTCTAAAAAAATGTGTTGCCTTTCCATGGTCCAAAATGTGTTTGATGTTACACTCAATCCTGTAAAAGGGCATGTTTTTGCCTGTTTGATCTGGTCTAGCGCACGCATGTCATAATATTGTCGTTTTAAGCAGGGATGGGCGTTTTTGAATGAATTATTATTCAAATAAAAAATTAAGTTTTATTCATAATAAATTAAAATAAATTTCAAATAACGAATAAATTTTTATTCTTCATTCAAGCACTTTCGAATGATGAATAAATTTTTATTCATCATTCATGCAATTTCAAATAACGAATAAATTGTTATTCATCATTCAAGTAATTTCGCATGAAGAATAAATTCTCGTTCATGATTCAAGTAATACTGAATAATGCATAATTTTTCATATATTTATTCTTTCTTGATCACAGTACCAGGTAGACGATCATGGTAAATGTTTCTGTCGTATATACATATTTATTGTGTATGAAATATTGGAAAATATTATATCAAAATCTACATATGTATGTATATAAGCGTGAACATAAGTATGTACTTATTTAATTATCTATACTAGTATCGCCCACAGTTCGAAATTCGACCACATCACTTATTTTATACACTTTTTTATTTTGCTTGTGACGTTTTTAAGGTCCATCAGCACCTCTTGTTCATTTGGGTCACTAATATTGTAAGCTGGGGTTACATATATACATTCGGTTAAATAATTTTATAATTCATAGGAATAGAAGGGAGAATTAAGCTTTGGTTATACTTGCACTGCAGTGCAGGGCATAGCAAAGCAGCGCATTTGAGAGAGATGCACGATTATACATACATAGCGCACATCCAATGTCAGAGTCAGCTGTTTGAATAATTGTTCGTTTGAGTAAAAGAAAAGTTGATCTTAACGCGCAGAGTAAGTTATCGATGCAAATAAATTTAATTAAATACTAATAACGCATGTTTTTACAAATTTTATTATTTTATTGGTCACCAGAATGGATAGAGATTTTGATGAAGGCTTCCTTGACTTGATGTTTTTAAACATATGTCGTCTGCAAAAGCAACGACAAAAATCAAGACGAGTACGCCGCTGGTGGGTTCATCCGGTTAACAGGGATCGAAACCCAAACGGATACTTTAAAAAAGTGTTTTTGAAATGGAAATTGCATGAAAACAAGCTTTTCGCTCTAACGAGAATGAACCGTCGCACTTACGATATATTGCTGAATATCATGCACCCCTTCTTGAAAAGACTCAAGCAGCAAATCGGTTCCAAAGAGCGCCTTTCGATAACTATAATGTATATACATACACATGTCAAAAGCGATAGTTATAGTTTTTACTTACAAACATTGTAATTACTTTGTGTCTTTAAGGTACCTCGCGCACGGCACCCCTTTCGAAATCATCGCTTCAATGCACAAGCTGGGGAAAACTACGGTTCGCAATATTGTATTGGAGACGTGTGAAATGTTATGGACCGAACTATCTCCAATATATCTCAGCGAACCCACGGTGGCACAATACACAGACATCGCGGAGGACTTTTTTAAGCTTTGGAATATGCCAAATTGTGTTGGAGCGATCGACGGAAAACACGTTGCTATTACGTGTCCAAAAAATTCAGGTTCCCTGTACTATAACTATAAAAAGTTTTATAGTATTGTGTTGATGGCAACCTGCGACGCCAAGTATACGTTTACCTCGGCTAGCATTGGAAGTTATGGTGGACAAAGCGATGGAGGTAATACTAAATTTTTGTAAATCTATTAAACTTCACTAATTGTAATCTTTAAGGTATTTTCCAACAAACTGATTTTGGACGGGCGCTCCTGAGCAATAGTTTGCCATTACCGCCCTCAACGCCTTTGTGCCGTGAGACCACAGAAGTATTTCCACATTTTTTTGTGGGCGATGCGGCATTCCCGTTGAAAGAAAATTTGATGCGACCTTACCCTGGATCTCAACTCCCGCGATACAAAACAGTTTTTAATTACCGGTTGTCGCGAGCTCGCCGGGTAATTGAAAACAGCTTTGGTATCTTAACAGCCCGCTGGCGTGTCCTTCGCAAAGTAATAGATTGTAGTCCAGAGAATTGCGAAAAGATCGTTTTAGCGTGCTTAGTTCTACACAACTTCGTTATGCTCCACGATCTAGAACGTTGGTGCGGATTTTTTTCCATGTAAAAAAAAATTTTGATCATGTGTTATATGGAAGAAAATGCGCAACACCCTCGACAAAAAAAATTCTAAAAAATCAACGGTAATTTTTAGCGACTTGAAACTTGCACTTTGTTATAATAAAATTGAATGGGCTACAAAACTGCATACCCGAAAATTATCTAAATATTCTAATTAAAAATTTTGATGACAATTTTTTGAAGTTTGAGTAGTTTTTTTGCAAGTTGTGCAAGCTTTGCAACTTTTGTTATTGTGGTTTCTGATATAGATTGAATTATATTTTAAATGAAAATTATTAAAAATAAATAAATAAACATAATTTGCAAGCAATATCGTTTTGAATTTCGTTGCTAATTAGTTGCACGCATCTGTATATGAGCATTTTCGTTCTATACACACTCACTCTTACTTCGTATTTTATACAAATATTGTAGTACCTATCCATGCATATTTTTATTGAAAATAAATCATAATAATTAATAAATCAATTTCATATTAAACTTTTTTATTTAAAACCAGACTATGATTAAAAGTACAATGTAAGGTTATACGACCAAAACAGAAGCATTGAATTCAAAAGCTGAGATCGTACGATTTGCAGCACATGTCCGAGTATTAAATATGTGTACAGGTACAATTCAATATACATACATATATAGTAGTAATCATATAAAATAAAAATAAAAAAACTTCATATAACAAATTACGTGTATTATGATTGCAGTGAAAGCAATACAAATTCATTTTTAAGTTGTTGAACCTTAGGTTGCATACATACATACATAGAGTATGGGTGCATTCCAAAACGTCAAAATACAAAGCATCAGTCCCTTTTATTTCTAAGCCGCACTAGAACAAAATGTTTGGCTTGCGCAACCTAGTTGAAAATTAGCATCTCACCGTGGTTGCGCACATTGGGCATTACAATCTACTGAGGTTTAGAAATAAAAGAGAGTGATGCTTTGTATTTTGACGATTTGGAATGCACCCTATGTAAAAATAATTAGCAAATGTAGGGTTTTGTTAAAAGATTCAGAATGTTATCAAGTTACAATTAAAAAGAAAAAGTTTTTCAACTGGTTGGAATATTTTTAATTTTTAAATCAGTAATATAAACACATTATTAATTGTTAAACATTAGGTTCCATTCATGCAGTATGTAACAAAATTGAACAAATGGTATGCAGTATGCAGTATGCAGTTTTTGAAGCCTCTAACAATTTGCGTTGATTTGCATTGTTTTTTTTTTATAGTATGTACTCCGAATTTTTTTCAATAAAATATTATTTGTATACAAAAACAGCAAAGATCGTTAATAGATAAGTTATCACAAATCAACGCGAATTTTTAGAGGCTTCAAAAACTGCATACTAAAACCTTTTAAAGAAATTCAGGTTACAAATTTTAAAATTTTGATGAAAACTTGAATATTTTTTGGATATTCATACACTATTATAAAAAAAAATTATTTGAAAAGTTTGTAAAATATTTACTCAAAAATCACCATCTGCCCATTTTTTACATACTGAACGTATGCAACCTAAGATTTAACAATTAAAAATTGTGTTTGTATTGCTGATTTAAAAATTTAAACTATTTTAACCACTTTCAAAAACGTTTTGTAACTTAAAAAACACAAATATTCTAATACACTTCGATTTTTAATCAACAAATTCAGTTCCGAGTTTAACTCAATATATATTAGCGTCTAAAAGCTATGACTTAAGAGTTGCGACCTGCAAAGAAACAACCTTTAATTTAAAAACACTGCAGTATATGGGTTCAGCCTACCTTCCTATTCTTCAGGCTCCAATTTGATGGCCATGATGGTATTTGTGACGACTTGTACCGCCTTTACCTGTTTCGCTTCACTCATCTCACTGACTGTGGACACAATCATTTGCCCGAAAGCACGTATGGTCTGGCTTCCTTTTTGTGCTGCCCGCTCCTTACACATGTCTTTATACAATTGACATGCTACACGGAATTCCCCATCTGCATCGCTTTCCTGCCGTTTTCGCTTCTTTTGAGAAGTTGTCGGCGTTGGTTGCTCACATGCCAACTCCTCAGTTGAGAACGTCGCCTCCACTGCATCAGGTGAACCGGTAAACATTAACGTCTCTGTCAAATAAAATATTCGTTGTACATCGTGTTCTTAAAATGTAAATTGTTTTAATGTTATTAAATAAAACACAGTGAATAAAACTTAATAGTGCTATTCACCAAAGGGAGCAAGTGGGCTGCCAGAGTGCCAGGCCACTTGCTCAATTCGGTGAATACCACTAATGTAAAGAAATTAAACACCTACGCCCTGGGCTTTACAAATTCTTTAAGGAAGCCCATGCTTTCAAACAATGGCCATGTTTCCGTCAGTGCGGCCGCACTCCCCGATGGTGCATCCAATCTTTTTAGTTCTCGGGAATACCTTTCCCGCAAGGACTGCCAACGTCTGGTACACTGATCTTCTGTAGGTATATCATAATAATAAATGGATTGAAAATGCATATAATTAAAATTTTACAAACCTGTTGCACCCAGCTCTTGTGCCACACTTGCCCACGCCGCCTTCTTTTTTTCCGGAAATCTATATGACAGGCTTCTTTTATTGTTTAGGGCATCATTCGCCCGCACCAAATCGACCAGCCTTTCGTCATCAATCATTCTGAAATAATATAAAAACAATACAACAATTAAAATTTATTATTTCTCATAAATAATTTCATACTTACATTCGCCCGCTTTTTTTGCCGCTTTCCAAATGTCGAATGTCAAATCTCGGCGTAAATGACATATGGCAGTGCACAAATGAGAGCGTCAGCTCTCTTTGCAAATGTCACATAGGCAAAAATCAAAATTCAGCAGACTTCGCTGTCATGCCCTGTCATGCGCTGCGTCGGATAATCGTCTGTGTGCAAAACTCATTAAACAGATTCGATAAGTGACAATACACATGTTATGCGCTGCAGCACAATGCAAGTATAACCAGCGCTTTAGATTTGTATGGAAATTCGATTACGTAATATTATATAAGATGACATGTTGCTCCTCTAACACTCAAAATTAAATTTCGTAAAAGTGCTACGAAAATCTTTCGTAGTGTTGGTTTTTGTACAATGTACGAAACTTCCGTTCATAATACGAACACATTTTTCACAACGAAACAAGATTTTACGAACCATACGTAAATATAACGAAAGGACTTTCGTAAGGCATTTTTCAGTACAATTTACGAAATCTTACGTTTATTTTACGAAACACATTCACTGCAACAGCACTGAACAAATCTCTGTACGAATAATTTTATATATTGTAGGAAGGCATTCGTAATATTTACGTATGGTTTTAAATTTACGAAATCTACAATTCTGTAATCGTACAATTTAGTTAATACTTTCGTATAAAGTACTAATGCAGAAACATGTTTTTTAAATTCGTACAACATACGGATATTTTTGTACAATATACTCAATTACCGGCAGTTTAATATTTCATCATATTTTTTGTATCGCGTGTCATTGCGGAATTAAGTGTCGGCTGCTGTGAAACGTATAATATAATTTTGAACGTTTTACAAGGGATTTGCTGGATAAAAAAACAATACAAAATTAAATACTAAAACTGTGGATATACTATGCTTTTAAGCATACAATGTTTTTAACATCGCCTACGCTGCGCCTTGCGCTGCAATGTGGGACTTGATAAATAGGCAATTTCATCAGTTACCTATCAACATATATAATACGTGAAGGGATTTTTTGTCCAGGTCACCAGATCTGCACCGTTCATTCGATTTTAAAAGATGAGGTGTCGAATGAAAGGGCTCGGGCTGCAGAAGTGCTATGGGGTTTTACTTTTTCGAAAAGAGTTGCCACCGTTTAAAAAATTTAACTCAAAAAAATAAACTATTTAGTACAATATGGGTATCAATCTAAATGGTTTTGAAAAGGTTTTATTTTTTTATTACATACAAGGGGGTTGCCACCTGTTTAAAAAAATCAAATTCAATTTAAATTATGGAAATTAGATAAGTGAAATATTTATCACAGTGTGGGTGTCGGGCGAGAGAGTTTTAAGGAGGTTTTAGTTTGGAAATATTTTAATGAGGGTTGTCACCTAATTTAAAAATCGAAAGTAATTAAATTATGGAGAAGTTAGTTAGGTATGTGAAATATTAAAACATGAGTGTCAAACAAAAGAGAGTTGAGAGCTTTACTTTGAGCATCCAGACTATATTTGTGGTTTTTAAAAAGGGTTGCCACCTGTTTTAAATGTTAAATTCAAATTAAATTAAATAATAAAAGATGGGTATCAGTCGAAATAATTTTCAAAAAAGTTTATTTCTAATCTTCTTGCCTTCCACCTATGCAGGAAGCATAACTGTTCCTTTCCCTCCCTTTCCATACATAACACACCCATTCCCCATTCAGATACCTTGAAAATACTAGGTATAATATTTGATAAGCGACTTAGCTTTAAGCATCATTGTCAATACGTTAGAGCAAGCTTATTCTCTAGGCTAAATATAATTAAATATTTGTCATCCAAACATTGCTTTGTACACCCTAACACGCTTACTAATATTACTAAAGCATTAATATTATCAAAAATACCATACACAAGTATCCCAAAAATTGCACCAGTACATTGGAATATAAGGGATTTTTTAACGAAGCTTTAAAACCATTTGAGAGCTGGGATATCTTATTTACGGATGGATCAAAAACTGATACCAACACTACGTTTGCTGTGACAAACAAATCTGGTGTCACCATCTCCGTCGGTACCTTGCCCCCGTACTGTTCAGCATTTACAGCCGAAGTAGCTGCTCTGCTTGAAGCGGTATTATATGCCTCTCATATAAAAGGAACGCACGTGATATCATTGATAGCAGATCTACAATCGATGCTATACTAAGCCCTAAAAACGACTCTCCCTTGTTAGAAAAAATCCGTGAAATACTTTTACTTCACAATAACTTTATTAAAATTATGTGGCTACCAGGACAC